AGAGACAGAGAGAGAGAGAGAGAGAGAGAGAGAGAGAGAGAGAGTTGGAGAGCTGAAGGGAGTGTCCTTCTCAAGAGCAGTGGCGGAAGATTATCAGACATTGATTCTTTCTTCATTCATTCATTCATTCGTTCATGATTTACTTTCAATCAATAATAATAAAGAGGAGTGATGGAGGGAAATTCATTGGAGTATCCTTGTCTTCTTCTTCTGATTCTTCTTCTGATTCTCTCCTCGTTCTACTCTCCTTTCTTTCTCTCTTGAGACTGCCGCTGAAAGGTACAATACCTATACAATACCTATGTGCTCGGCACCTCCTACCGTCTTCACCCGAAAATAACGCCCGGGCGTTATATTCAACTTACCCTAAAAAGATGCGATTTTCGTTTTTAGTTATTTTTCCTCATTTTTTTTCAAATAGAACGCCCCTTCGAATAGAACGCCCGGGCGTTATATTTGAATGTTCCGTGGGCAGCGCGCCTTGAAGAGGTAGTATGCATGGGTTTTAAAGGGCGGGAAAGGCGGTATACATGGGTTTCGAAGAGGGTTGAATGGGGTTCTGACTTCCAAGGGGTATATTTTGGCTTTAGTTTTCGTTTTTATTTTTTATTTCCGACTTTATAAGGAATTCGGAAGTGACCCTCAGCTAAAAGTTGGTCGCATTCCAATCCTGAACAACATATTTTTTTTTCAGAATTTTTTATTTTTTGTTTTTTTTTCCCGGAATTTTGGGGCCTCACAGAAGTTTTCACAAATTTACTGAATATAACGCCCAGGCGTTATAAACGAATATAACGCCCGGCGGGCATTATGTTATATTCATACACAACGCCCGGGCGTTATTTTCGGGTGAAGACGGTAGTTGCTAAATGACGAGGAGGGGCATTGTCCGTGTGATTCTGTAAACATGGTTCCAGTCCTGACTTGCTGGCGATGATAGCAAAATACTTCTTTCAATCCACAGCAAGCTGGTAGATAGAGTAAAGGGAACGTCACCGAATGCGCACTACGGTGATGAAGGGAAACAGAACGCACTACACATGACGTATCAGGGATGTAAGTGCTTGGGAGGGTTGCTGTTGCATGTATTCTGTGGGCTATGCAAATCTGATACGATATGCGTGGAAGAGCGATTTGCCATGTATTATTCATGGCACTCTCTAGAGGCATACTTTGTGAGGTGATTGATCCAGGACACTCTTTAAATGCACACTTTGAGACGCAATCAAGAGAAGGGAGGTTGGGAAAAACAGAAAAGTGAGAGACTGAGAGGAGACAGTGAGAAGGGGAGCGAGGGAGGGCAAGCAGAGAGAGGAAAAGAGCAAGGGAGCAAGGGAGAGAGAGCAGGAGCAAGAGGTAATGGAGGGAGGGAGCCAGGACACAGGGAGCATGGGAGGGAGGGCGGGCGGGCGGGCGGGAGGGAGGGCATTAGCTTATGGAGGGGATAGGTGCATGGGTGCTCAGATGGGTGGGTGGTACTGACTCTACTGAGCATGACATAACACCATAGTTCCGCAAGTACAGCTATACAAAAGGTTGAGTGAGAAAATTGCCATGCGATCGATCGCAGGCTGAAGCACATACCTTTTCTGTTTTTCCCTTTTTTTTGAAACATCATGTGGAAACAGCAAAGGCTTGAGGTAGGGAGGGAGAGTGGACACAATGGGTAATGCAGGGGAGTGAGCAAGGGAGGGAGGCAACGAGGATGCGGGGGAAAGGGAGTGGGGTAGTGAGGGAGGGCGGGAGGAAGCAAGGGAGAGAGGGTGGAGGGATAGACGGAGGGAGAAATCACCGTATAGAGGGGATGGGTGCACGGGTGCCCAGATGGGGGGATGGCACTGAGCATGAACATAGCACCATGGTTCGGCAAGTCCGGGTATACAGCACAGGTAGAAGAGCAAATTGCCATAGGATTTCAGCCTGAAGCACATACCTTTTTCTTTCCCCCCACGCCCCCCCCCCCCCCCCGCCTTTTTTCCTCTTCAAAACATCATTATGCAAGGCCTCAATTCTGGGAAGGGCGACACAATCTTCAAAATTTGACGTCTTGTGGTGTGGCTCCATTCTGTTGGCATGGGCTGGACTGGCGGGAACCACGTACAAGAGGCCCTTAAACTGCCACTCCATCTGGACCTATTCTGGCAAACCGAAAGTTGCGCTTTCCCAAGCCTAAGATCTACAGTGCCGCCGTAAGGAAAAATAGTTGTGGTACCCCTCCCCGTCGAACCTCATACAGTGCCGCCACGAGGAAAAATAGTTGTGGTACCCCTCCCTGTCGAACCGCTACAGTGCCGCCGCGAGGAAAATAGTTGTGGTACCCCTTCCCGTCGAGCCTCTACCAGGCCTGGGCACCCTAGATTTTGGTCTGGTACTTGTAAACAAGAAAAATGACACAGTGCGGGGACCGTGAACGTGGTGGTTTGGTACTACATAGGTGCCAAGAAGCACAGGTCCCAACTCCCCGAACGACGATGCAATCGGAGGAGATGCACACTCGATTCGATTTAAACCATCAGTACATGGATGGCCCCAGGGCCCAGGCAACTGGAGAAGCTGTTTGGAGCCTCTCCGAAAATTTAAGAGGCCGAGCGCCGAAGATCAAATGAATCGGCGGTGGACGGCCTCCGAAAGGGGCCCGCGGCCAATAGCTGGCATGTACTGGTGCTTTACGAAAAAGTAGTTAAATTACAATTACAACATCCCAGATAGAATTCGCAACTTAGCTCGCATCCACTTGCGAATGCAAAAAAGACGAAGACGAAGTTGAAGACGACCGTCCATCACCGCTTGCGACTGCAAAAAGGACAAAGACGAAGACGAAGACGAAGTTGAAGACGACCCGCCCATCGCCAACTAAATTTCCCCCTTCTATATGGTCCTGCAGTGTGAACCCTAAAACTTCTGCACAACGTGCTGCTGCTGCCACAGCCCTTTTGACAGAAGTGCGCCATTGATCGTGATTGATCCTTCAGCGCCTTTTTTCCCCGGTCTGCCCCTTTCTGCCACCCCAAATTCTCCTCTATAGCCGTGCAGATCGAATCCTTGGGACAATCGCATCAGAGGTACTGTGAAAGAAGCCTCAAATATATTACACTCTTCCGAGCTCTTCAAAATTATATATCATACATAAGTAACGTAACCCTTCATCCACCCAGCTCATCAAGCAGGGGGCAGCCGGCGACCTCTGGGCCCAGTACCAGACCAAGTCCCAATAGTCGGGGGTGGGAAGGAACCGACAACACACGCCAGCCCGTGATCCTCTCCTTGCAACTAACATCCTGGTTCGCTTTCCTTCTCCGGAAACCGGAATCGCCAGTACACGCAAGAACACGCCTACCCTAGTTCTCCTCCATCTCTGTACACCAAGCCCCCACAAAAAAGTGCGATGTGATCCTCTCCTTGCAACGACCACCCCGGTTCTTTCCTTCTCCGGACATCGGAATCTCCAGTGAATGCACAACACGCCTACCCTACTTCTCCTCCATCTCTGTACACTTAAGCCCCCGCAAAAAGTGGGAGTAGAGCCGACACTCTGGGGATACCCCAGCAGAGAGGAGTCCCCGTGTCATCTCTACTTCCAGTTAGTCCACCACCGAAAGCCACCAGCAGTCATCCTTTGCCCAGAGAGGAAAAAGCGCATGCTCTGGTAATAAGTTCCACATGCACACAGGAGATTCACCTAACTGGAGATGGTGCCTTTATATTATGGGTTATTAATCTTCTTGAACTTCTTACTAGTTTTGGTGGGTATTACTTCTGCCGTCACTTCGAACTTTATGTACTGTGGAGGCATGCAACCCATTGGCAAGAGATCATGCGACCTGCACACACAGCCATCACAAACCAATCACAAACGAATCACAATTCCCCTTCCGAAAAGATTTCTGGAAAGATGGCTAAGAAATCATTGTCAAACATGGCTATCTTCTCTTTTTTGGTCGGCGGTCGGTCAAATGCAAAGGCCCTTTAGGGCCCAAATTTCCCATTGTCAAACATGGCTTCCTTCGTTGTACTAGATTACTTACAGAGGTATGCATACACTCTAGGAACATTAAAAGCCATAAGAAGCACACATGCAACTAACGGAAACTTAGTTTCCCTCCTGACAGAGGCCTGCCAACGAACCGAGCAAAACGTTCGGGAAAAAAATACAAAATCAGTTAGAAATTAGAATTTAGAAGCGCACGTTCAAATAACGAAAAGTTGAAAACGTAGTTTCCCTCGTGACTGAGGCATGTCGCATGCATATGCAATAACCGATGTGGTATGGCTCGTGGAAACTGAGGGCCTGGCACCAGGCCACACCCAGACCCAGGCCAAAACGGGGGAAAAGACCTCAGTAAAAGATTCAGGGCGTGGACGAGGCACAATTGACAAAAGCCAACTGTCGGAAATTCCAACAGTCAAAGTCAAAGTGTACCCAGCCCAGGCCGCCGGTCGGACACACACATTTGTTTGCATGCAGGTACCCAGACGGCATCAGGTCCAAGGGGGAAGTCTGCAACTGTACAATCCAGGCCCTCGGCTGTGAGTCAATCTGGGCGACTGTGGGAAAAGCAGCCAAGGCCAGACAGCCTCAACAAATGCTACTTAAGGCTGGCCTCGAGTTTGTCATACATTCAGTCTTGCTATGCTGCTTGGACGCTGGCTTGACTCTGACCAGACGCTGGGGAGACGCTGGCTGGACGCCGGCACTGTGGGCGATGACGACAGCATGCTGGCACTTTCTGCATTGTCTGCGCCAGGCATGCTGAGGTGGCGCTGCCTCTGGTCTACATTGCATGCTGAGGTGGCGCTGCCTCTGGTCTACATTGCATGCTGATGTGGCGCTGCCTCTGGTCTACATTGCATATGCTGATGTGGCGCTGCCTCTGGTCTACATTGCATGCTGATGTGGCACTGCATGCTGNGGTCTACATTGCATGCTGATGTGGCACTGCATGCTGATGTGGCAGTCTCTGGTCTACATTACATGCTGATGTGGCGCTGCCTCTGGTCTACATTGTTGATGCGGCGCTTGCCACTAGTCTACATTGCTGATGTGGCGCATGCCACTGGTCTTCATTGATGATGTGGCGCATGCCACCTTTCCCAACTGCTGACGTGACATTGTCCACGCTGTCTACATGAGGTGACTGGTCGCGAGGAGGAGGGAGATCGGATCTGTAGATGAGTGGGATCGGGTACTCACCTGAGGTGGACGTCGTCACTGTATTCTGCTGCGTCTTCATGGTCTTCACGAGATGAGAGTGCCACGTGGCACTATTGCGTGATCAGGATTATCATACTTGTTATCAAATATTGGTTGATGATGTGAAGAGGGAAGAAGCCCGGAGAAGAAGTGGGGTTTGAGGGGATTACTCTTGTGTGATCATTGACCATTCTTTCCACCTTCTCCTCTGTCTAATCCTCCTCCACTCTCTTCGTCTAATGGTAATAAGATACTGTTTCAGATATCATTTCACAATAACTGGAGACTATGCTGCATATACCGAGACTACTGGTGTTTGACGACTGATGAGTATCTGCCAGACTGGGTTCATTACACATACACAAAAGCAAACGCATCCGTGGATCTCTGTTGTCCGATAGCAATCTGGATGGAGCACGCCCTCCGCCAGCATCGACCGATCATCACTATCCCTGAAAGCTGGAGGTTATGCACTGAGGCAATTACTACGTCGTTTTACAAATTAGGTTTGCGGTCAACGGCCATTTAAAGTTTTAAACCCTCTCCTTCCCCCTCCATCCTCCTCCTCCTTCCCTCCCTTCCCCACTCCCCTCTCTAGCCCACCCCCCACCCCTCACCCCCGAGACCCCCCTCGTGCGGGATTTTGTGTCTTAAGTTCCAAACTGAGAGCTCCTTACTGTTTTTTTTTTTTTTTTTTTTTTTTTTTTTTTGTTGGGGGGGGCGGGGGTCAATTTTTATTTTATTTTTTATGGAGTCAATGCAGATGATAACTCGAAGCACGAACTGAGAGGATTCCGCAGCCTGAAAAGGGTTTGAGGCTTTGAGCTCATGACCTGTTTGCTAAGATTTCCAGCTGTGTGGAGGTGAAAGGTGCCCACACACCCATAACTGGAGTCGAGGCATATTGCAAACTGAGGACTGTGCAGTCTGAAAAGGGTTTAAGTTTTTTTTTTTTTTTTTTTTTCATGATCTCTACAGGAAAAATTACGTGTGTGTACATGTGTATACAACTAATAAGCCGTATTGGCTAAGTGCAGTCAGCAGACTAGCGACTCTAGCCTCACGAGCGACCAACACAACGGTTCCTTTCCTCAAGTACAAGCGTGAATTCGTTCTATTGATCTATTTGGCGTTTCACTAACCCAATCGCAAAAAGAAATAGTGTTGGCAGTGTCCCTCCTCGAGGACCCCCAGTCCTTTTCTTTTTCCCTCTTCTTTTCTTTCTTCCTTTAAAGTTTAAATTCCTCCTTAAAAAAAAATAAAAATTGGACAGCTTCTCGATTTATGCATGTCATCCTTGCGGGGGGGCGGGGGGGAGGGGGGGGGGCATGCTAATCTTCTCTGTATCATTCCAATTTTAACGGATGTCCCGAAGGACAGAGGACCGGAGATGAGCACCGGGTACCCAGACCCGCACCCACCTGCACCCACCCCACCCACGAGGACATTGGGTCAGGTGCGGGCCTTGATAAGGTGACCTGGGTGGGATGAGGGCGGGTCAAGGCCAGGCAGCCTGGGTGGGTGAAAGGTGGGTCAACATCAGGCCTGGGTCACACGAGTGGGTGGGTGACAGGTGGGTGAGTGCTAGGCCTGGGTCACCCGACCCACAGACCCAGGACAACCCATGAGGACCCCCCCCCAAAAAAAAAAATCCCTGCACGACATGTCCACCCGCCTAAAAAAGTCGAAGGTGCACGCACGAAATATCAAGTCCCGTCGTCGGCCTGCCTGGAAAAAAAAAAAGGGTCGAGGTCCTCCTGGAAAAAAAAGGCAGGAACCTTCTATCAAATTTTTCGCATGCTGTTCTTGCCTCTTGGCGGCTGCACCACGCCCCTCTTGCTGTATCAATTTACTCGCTGACCCATTATGCAAAAGGTACGCCGTTAACCTTTGCAGATCCATCATCCATTGATTGATGATGCATCTTTCAGCCTTCGACTGATTGCTTGCATCGGGTTTCAGGTTTTCTATTTCACTCCTTTTCTTAGGGTTCTTTTCACCTTTCCCTCACGGTAGTTGTACACTATCGGTCACTGAGAAATACTTAGGCTTAGAGGGTGGTCCCCCACAGAATTCAAACACGGCCCCCACGTTTGGATGAGTTACCGCTTTCAAACGGGATGCCGAGTTTCGCTCCCATTAAAACAACAGGGGGCGAACCTAACCACAACAGGTGGCAAGGTTCGCTCCCCACTTTTGAACTTTTGGAGCGCTTTGAATTTTGGCGCCGTCATCCAGCGACGACACAACTTGTGCATGGTTCGGCAGCAGGGAGGAGGTGGTGGGGCGGCGAGGAGGGGGGCAACGCACCGATGGCCTGGGGAGCAACAGCGCTGCTATGAGTGAGCAGCTGTTGCGAGGCGAGGAGGGGGGCAACGCACCGATGGCCTGGGGAGCAACAGCGCTGCTATGAGTGAGCAGCTGTTGCGAGAGAGAGAGAGAGAGAGAGAGAGAGAGAGAGAGAGAGAGAGAGAGAGAGAGAGAGAGAGAGAGAGAGAGAGAGAGGCAAGTTCATGACGTGGGCGATTCCTGTGAGAGAGACTGAGAGAGAGAGACGTGGGCGATTCCTATGAGAGACAGAGCTCTCTCTCTCTCTCTCTCTCTCTCTCTCTCTCTCTCTCTCTCTCTCTCTCTCTCTCGGAGTGTGTTTGATTTTGTTATGTCACGTCATAATGTCCTATTGTCTGTAAATGT